CCATGGGGAACTTCTAGGGTGATATTAGGGTTCTGTTTTTTTTTTCCTAGTTGGCAGTTATATAGGTTATTTGTGAACACTATGTTTTATGCACTTTCTGTGGCTCTTACTCTCCCCCCCCCAAAGTAAATGGTTAAAACCAAAACAAAAAGCAAGAGGAAAGGTGATTATCACAAAAATCAGGATAATGGTTGCTGTTAGGACAGGGGTTCTCACCTGGGGGCAATTTTATCGTTCATGGGACATTTGGCAATGTTTGGAGACATTTTTGGTTGTCACAGCTGGGGAGATGTTACTTCTATCTGGTGGGCAGAGGCCAGAAATGCAGCTAAACATCCTACAGTACACAGCATAGCTATGCTCCTCCGTCCCCAAACAAGTAATTATTCCTCCCAAAATGCCAATAGTTTATGGGTTGAGAAACCCCATTCTAGGAGGAAGGGGCACAGGGATGCTGGATGCTTCTTGATATAGGCAGTGTTCTGTTTTCTCATCCAGGAAGTGGTGGGGGTGGGGGGGGAGAGGTTGCTTTATAACTAACTGTACAGACTTCAGACACTCCTATATATGATGATATTTGTCCCAATAAAAGAAATCTAAAAATTAAATGGGTCCCTTTCTGGTAGATTTAATTACAATAATTTATGGCATATTAAACCTGTAGTGAAGGTTAACTAAAGAGTAACCTGAAGCAATTTGGATATCAGGGATCAACTTCTATCTTAATGAGTATCTGGTGAGGTATAAATGGCCGTCACTTTTCCTACACGGATTCAGTGACACGATTAGGGTGTCAGTCTTGAGCTGGCTTTGCATGACCATAGTCATGGAGGCAGAAGCTTTTGAGTCTGGGGCTCGATTTCTTAGAGGCAGCCACACACTCATTCTTGAAGAGGGAAAATGAGTTGACTTCACACCCTGTTTGGTATCATAACTTTCTCCTTGATGTACTGAATTAGAGAAAACTCTGTAACTTCTTAGGTGATAGGGTTATCAAGAAATTATCAGCTTCAAGATTCCATAAAGGAGCCATGAGATTCATTTTTGTAGGTACTAAGAAAAGAAAGCAGATTTTTGAGCAATTTGCTTTTGAGATTTGACAGCGATAGCTAGAAAGCTACCTTTTCTCTGTGATGGTATCATGTTACTCTTTTCTGAGAAATGCCATCGTAGTTGTGAAAACTCTGCTTTGGGACAGTTTTCCACTTTGTTCCTTGTGCTGATTGCCGAGGCTGAGCAGTTAGTTTAGTCAGGCCTTCATGATGTATTTTCCCAGAAGTACAGTCAGTGAAACGTTTAAAGTGCCCCAGGGCACCCTGTATTATTTGTCAGGAAGTTAGTGGGTGTATAACAGCTTCCAAGTGGTAGTCCCTTGTCCTCATGCAGCCTTGTCCACAGGTTCATCGGTGCAGACTGACTCTTGTGTATATAGGGCAAGTAGAAGACAGCTGGAGAGTCACTCACTGATCTACAGATTAAGTTCCACCTCAAGACCACTAGAGGGTCCTGGTAGCCTTGCAACAGGGACTGAGCAGTTCAGAAGAAACGGGGCCTTGCTAACTGCCACTCCCAGTACTGGAAAACCTGTAGAATATTCCTTTAAGGGAAGACCTGGCCAAGGAATGAATCTTGAAGCTGATAATTTCTTGATAACCCTGTCACCTAGAAAACTAACATTATTTTTCTGCCATGTCATCCTTGGTAAATACAGTATGTCTTCATCCAAGGGAATTTTTGGTCGTATTACTTGTATTAAAGCTGAAAAGCAGATGGCACAGTAACCTTGTAACATAATTTTTCTGCCATAATAATATTTTTAGTTTCTTAAGACTGTTTACAAATCCACACAGTATGCCTTTTAACTAAGCAGAGATTCCATACTGTCCTTTTCTTAGAATCTTACAAAGATTCTAGAAATAACCCTTATTTTCTTATGGGATATAAAATTCAGTATATTCTTCAAAATTTCATTTTTAGGAATTATTTTACTGATTAGTTCTCTCTACCAGACTCAACTTCGCTTTTTGGTGGACTGACCTCAAGGTTTTAGGAAATGTTTGTTACTTCCATCAGATATTTTGCCCTTTCTGATTTTAAGATTTCTGAAAATAAAAACTGGGATGCCCGTTAGGACAGGGATCTTCAAGGGTTTTTTGTACACATGTTGAAAACCAGTATACTCTGTCTCACATTTTTTAGAGCAACATCTGTAAGATTTTTAACCATAGCTTTGAATAGTTGTGCAGAATGTAATTTTTGGCCTATTGGGAAATATTGGCATTTCAAGATAAAACCCATACGTCAGTCTCAGATGTATCCAGTGGACGATAAATACCAGAGCAATTTGATATCCATTGTCACGTATCTAGAAATACACCAACAAGTCCTTTAGTCGTCAGAACTATTATATTTCATAGTTCCCTTTCCTCTGAAATAGTATTTCCATTGCACATACCACGTAGCATTTTATGTTAATATGTCCTTTTTTGCTTCAACTTTTTAGATTTGTTATCCTATCCTATTTCTCGGCCCCAAAACAAATACATATAAATTTTTGGTTTATTTCTAAAAGCCCTAAGGTTTTAGGTGTAAATATTTTTCCTGTGGATTAAGTTATCGTATCAGTAGATTGCAATTAATAATACTGGGAAACATGTTATAAATTTTGATAATTATTATTACAGTGAAATCTTTCTGGAAGTGCATCTCTGGATGAGACAGATTGGTGTGGGGTGGGGGCTGGTTTTGCTGTTTTGATTAGAGGGCACTCCCTAGTACTTCGGCTTGTGCCTTATTTATCCCCGGTAAGAGAAGAGTCATGCCTCACTGGTTAAGTGAGGGAAGGACACATGGGAGAAGTGAAGGAGAGCCAGATGGCTGCATCCACTCAGGATCAGGGCAGTTTGGGGAAAGAATGCACAGGGACTAGTAGATAGAGACCGATTTCCCCTAAGATCTGTCTATGCTCCATATACTGTGGGAAGTCTGTATTCTCGGCAGATGGAACAGCTCCCCCCAGAGATGCTTAAAATCCTCTGAAGTGCAAGAGCAGCTCTTTTGGGGACACAGGGTAGTGGGTGGGAATGTGGACTATCCTCATATCCACCTGGGTTTGGATCCCTTCATAGCCACCTCCTAGCTGTGCCTTATTTAATCCCTCTGTGCTTCAGTGTCCTTCTGTGAAGTAAGTTTAATCCTCACAGCAGCTACTTTGTAGGATGGTTGTAAAATGAAATACAAGAATGCATAGAAAGCTCTTAGTCCAGTGCTTCCTGCTTGATAAGACTTCACTTGATAATAGCTATTATCTAAGCTCTGAACTTACTAAGTGATTTGTGTTTGGAACATCAACATTGAGAATATTATGTGCCTTAAGAATAGTGTTTGACCTCCAAAAGACGAGAAAAATTTACTTGGGGGATGTCTGAAAAAAACCCCAAGCGCTCTTCTTGAAAAGTGACTGCAGAAGAGAAGGTTTCAGGTTGATGATATAATTAACCCATGCTAGAGATTGTCTGAAACCTTGAAACATTTGTCTTTATATCTTTCGGAGCCTTACTTTATAATCCATACTTTGTTTTTAAAATTGCTAATTTCTGGAAAGGATTACCACTAGCTAACATGTTCAGTGGACATGTGCTGGTTTTGCTCCAGTATTATGGTGAAAATTTCCTTTTCCCCTCTTTTCTCTGAACTTCCTGTCTGTAGTGGTTTATGACATAACTATAGGAAAATTCAGTCTCTTTCTCCCTATGATGTTCTGTTTCCGTGGTATTCTGCTGCCTTACCTGGACACGTAGATAAGGGTGAGAGAATATGGGCAGCTAGTGACTATCCTATAATTGACTCTAACCCCGGATCTACTTGCTCTGATATTTTAGGTTCTGATATTTCTGGCTCACATTTTCCTCTTTTATCAAAGGAATAAACACATGAGTTTATCCCTCGATGATTTGTTTTTGTTATTTTTGTCCTTAAGGTGAGTCTCCACTGAAATCTGGTGTTTGAGGCGATGGCTCCGTGCCGGCTCTCCTTCACACCCTGATCATCGTCTCTGCTCTGTTTTTTAATTATCATGTAACCTACCTTTATCGGCTTTTTAAAAAGAGCTTCTTATTTTGAAACAATTATAGATGTATAGGAAATTGCAAAAATAATAACTACAAAGAGTCCTGAGTACCATTTACCTACTTTTTCCCAGTGGTGACATCTATTGCAGCTATAACATAACCTCAAAACCAGGAAATTGACACTTGTGTAGACTATTAGACCACAGACCTTATTAAGGTTTCACCATTTTTTTTAGCCTTCATGCATGCGCGCACGCGCGCGCGCGTGTGTGTGTGTGTTTAGTTCTGTGGAATTTTATCCCATGTATAAAATCAGGTAATCATCACCACACTTAAGGTACAGGATTGTTTCATTACCACAGAAGAGCTGCCTCATGCTGCTTCTTCAGACTCACACTCACCTTCCAGCACCCCCCTTTAATCCCTGTCCCTTGGAAACCTTTTCTAGCTGTAGAGTGTTGTCACTTTGAGAATGTTATATAAGTGGAACATATCGTGTGTAGATTGACCTTTTTCACTAAGCACAATGCCCTTGAGGTCCATCCAGGTTGTTCCTTTTTATTGTGGAGTAGTGTTGCAGTAGAGGGATATACCAGACTTTGCTTAGCCATTCACCCATTGAAGGAATTCCGGGTTATTTCCAGTATTTTACTATGATAAATAAGGCTACTATTACATTTGTATGTAGGTTTTTGTGTGAACACAAGTTTTCGGTTCTCTTCCTCGAGGATTTTATAAATTCCGTGTGAATGGTCTTGCCTGATTCTTAGTACACAGTTTAAGAAGAATATTTCTAATCATTTGATTGGAGTTCAGTAATAAAGGATGGGGCTCCTAAAGATTTCATTTAAATCAGACCATGTCATTGTAAGAATAAATGAGAATGGATTACAGAGAGTTTAATGTGATGCTTTTCATTCTTTTTTTAAGACTCCTCAGACAACAAAGAAAAGAAGACTTTCAGCCTTGAAGAAAAGTCTAAAATCTCCAAAAACCGTGTTCACTATATGAAATTCACAAAAGGTAAAATTAAGCATTTCTTTATTTGTTGCTGAAATCTCTGTTCACACTAGGTTTCTTAAAGCATTTTTAGCTTTCACCAACATTATTTCTTGTTTTATATGCAAAATGGACAGGTGTGGGTGGCCTGACTGGTTTGACCTAAAGCAGTGTTAGGGTTTCAACATTTATTGTGAATCACCTAGAGATCTGGTTAAAGTACAGATTCATTAACTCTGAGGTGGGGCCCCATGTTCGGCTTTAGACTACATGCAAGTCCTTTGGCAAAGCTGGAAGCGGAAGTCAGCATGCTGTGTAAAAGAGAAAAGAGACTTTATGTGGCTAGGTCAGAAAATAATTTTAATTTATTGCTCAACATTTTTAGTTACACTTCTTGTTTTTGAGAAATCCCACTCCCACGCTGAATCACATTATTCCACACCATTCGACATTGAATGGAGTGTTAACTTAGGCATTCCATGGTCATTGCAAAGTAGCTTTAGAAAATGTATTTGAGAACTGGGTAGTGTGTGAGTCCTAAAGTCCTCCATCATCACCTCCCCCTTCCTTCCCCAGTACTGCCGCCAATTGCAAGTGCAGTTGTCCTGTGTAACCGTGAGGTGGCAGTCTTGTATTGGTAAGAAACAATTTAACTTAAACTCCTCAACTCCCCCAAATATTTTCCCATAGAACAGTATTGTGCATTAAGTACACTTTCCAGGTACAAAAGCCTACTTATTACATATTGTACTTAAGGTATAAATGTGAATGTAATCCTGTTGTGATAGTCTAGTCACCATATGATCGTTCTTCCTATTGGAGATTGGATGTACCTTGCTATACCAGGAAACACACATCCCTTTGCTTTAGTCTAGTTGGCATGATTGGGAATTCCCTGACTGCTAGAACTTGCCTAAATAGCAGTGGGAGCTAGAATTCCCACTACTCTATTAATGGTGGTTCTCATTTGGGGCCAGCACCCTGAAAGGTAGGTCTGGAGTTGGTTTAAATGGGAGCCCGTGGCAGAGTTAGTGGGAGCCGAATAGCTTCGGGAATGTGTACAAGGAGAGACGGGCACTTCCTGCTTCCCTCTCCCTGCCTGTGTGCTTTTTGTGTGGCTCTTCTTGCTATCCCCTCTTCTTTCTCTCAAGCTAGAACCTTCTTTGTTGTTTTCCTATATGGTTTCTGATCAGGGCTTCTCTCCACTCCTGACCTGCTGCAGAACAGAAGACAGTCCCTGTTGGTTCCTCAGTCTTTGTAAGGGGAGGCTAAATTTGCCACTTTATAACCAGTCTTTTTTCATTAGAACCTAAAGGAAAAAAGAGAGATGTAGCAGAAAGATTCTGAGCAAATGAATGACATTAAAAGCGGCCTGTAACTTTTAGATGGTAGGGCAGCCTTTGAAGCTTTCACGTTAGCAAATCTAGTTTTCCTTTAGTACCTAACTGTATGCATGATTTCACCTGAAGCATTTGCTGCAGCCGGGATAAACCTCTGTAATCTACTTTAATCTGATGGGTGCTGGGAGTATCTGCTTTCTATTTCTAGTTAAGCCACTCCCTTGCCAGGTGACCCTGTCAACCTGCTTGGTGTGTTGTGCCTTCACTTTCTCAGAATGAGGTTTGCTGGTTTATTAGTATTAGCCTAATACTAATATTAGTGTTAATATTAGTATTATAATTATAATTATAATATTAGGAAGAGGGTTCAAGATATATTGTCAGGAAGGAAGCAGAGGAGATTGGGAAAAAATAGAGGAAAGGCAGTTTGGGGAGTGAGTGGGAAAGGTGGGAAAAGGAGGCAGAAATCCAGGTCGTGAAGAAAATAGTTATTTACTATCCATCTTAACAAGCCACGGTGAAAGCATATCTTAGAGTTCTTTCGTTTAGTAAAAGAAGTCTTTCCTTGCAGAGCAGCTGTTGTCCCTGAATATGAATGGTAAACCCTAAGTCATCTCTAAGGTGGATGATCTTAGATCACAGGGATCCTGGGTGCTGCATTACCTTCTCACACAGATCACTTTAGCACTTACTTTCTTCCAGACTCCGCTTCCACTGTTACAACATGAGGAAAGATTTTTAAGTCATTATTGAGTTCTAAAGTAGGTCGCATTTTATGACTTTTCAGAAATGACCCATTTTATGGAACTTTTGATTGTTCAGCATAATGGATGATAAGTATTTTAGCCCGCGGGTAGGCTCCTAGTGAACATAACTAATTCGTTTATTCAATGCGGATGATTCATGCTGTTACTCCCATCTGTGGTCCAGAGACTAAAACATGGGAAGAGGGCATTTTACATAGCTTGGTGGGAAGAGTGAAGACAAAAATTTGACTTTAGTGAGATTCCAGCAGCATATAGAATTGTAAAATTTGCTACCGCCTAAATATAGGCCATATCATTTTCGTTGGGATACATATATACTTATTCCTTTCTTGAGTCCCAAATTTATGATTTTAATTTTAAACAATTTATTACCTAATTCAAAAGTTCATATCATCAGTGTTTGTTTAAAAGCCTAACTTCCATGCAGTTCCCTTTTTTTTTTTTTTAAAGATTTTATTTATTTGACAGAGAGAGACAGCGAGAGAGGGAACACAAGCAGGGGGCGGGGCAGAGGGAGAAGCAGGCTTCCCGCTGAGCGGGTAGCCCGATGCGGGGCTCAATCCCAGGACCCTGGGATCATGACCTGAGCCCAAGGCAGATGCTTAACGACTGAGCCACCCAGGTGCCCCCCATGCAGTTTCTTTTAATTTGAAAAATGTTCGTCGAGTCCCATCTGTGGAGAGGAAAAGACAGGGAAAAGAGCAAACTCCACAAAACCATTTTTAAAGCTTTTCACATACACAGTGTGAAGTTATCAAGAGAGCATTGCTTTCTTCCTCCCCTCAGTTGTGCGGTGGGTGGAAGAAAGGGGCATGAACTGTGGTTGTGCAGCTTTAGCCTGGTAATCTTACTCAGACTTCTTACTCCCGTGACCGTTTGTAGTATTTGCTTCTTAAACGAGGAAACTGCCTGGACGACACACCTGGTGGCTGGCTCCTTAGGCTGGACGCACAGACTGTAGTCCTCCTAGCTCGCTCCCCTCCTCCCCACGGCAGGAGAGCCGACTCTGCTAATGTTGGGCAGCAGGTTTCCTCTTCAGATTCTTTTGCCACTTAAATCTAAAATAGCGCTGCAGGCTGGGAAAAAATTCTGGCTCTCTTACTGGTTGTGCGGGTCTCACTTATTTCATCCCCCACTCCACGTCCTGCAGCTTGCCTGGTGCTCCGACGTCACCCTTTCAGTGCCACGGCCATAATCTCCTGGTCCCGGCTTATTATCGGTCCCATGTATTTTCATTAAAAACAAAAATCAAAATACAGTATGTGTTGTATCCTTCTTGACTGGGGGATGCAAATGAATTTTCCAAGCAAGTGAAGCTAACTACATACACCTGAATTGGTGTTGGTTTTTTTTTTTTTTTTTTAAATTTTAACAAACGTTATTTCTCCTACCGTGCTTTTCCTGGCCCTCGCCCTTTTACTCTGAGTAGAAAGCTCAGGTTTTTTTTCAGGCTTTGTTCTAATACGGTGCTATAATACCGTGTTTTCCCTGGAACTTGTTGGGTCCTGTAAGGCTTTTGCCCTTAAAGTAAGAGGCTCCAAATCTCTGTGCTTCTAAAATTCTTATACTTATTTTTCGTAGTTTCATTTGCTTCCCATGTGGACTTCTTGGTGTCGTGGGTGTACCTGGCCATAGTGGTAACCTCCCTTCCTTCCTTTGCCACTCTGATGGACTGGATAATCATGACTATTAGAAAAACAGCTAAAAAGATCATGAAGAACTCTTCTCTATAAAGTACCTGCTCATCCTTTTATGGACACAGTTACATCAGCTTGGCTGCTGGAAACCATTTTCCCTGGTTCTCAAAATGTTATGGCCAAATTAAGACTAACAGATGAACCAGACCCAGACAGATAATATATAATTCTTATTCTGTTGAGTTTTTGATTGTCATTTTCCCTAACATCTAAGTTTATCAACAGTATTTGCTGTCAGTTGACCTTAATTCAGAACTGAGACCAGTAAGCTTTCAAGCTCAGTTTTAATAAATATATATTTTATTCAAGAGTGGCCATGATTTTATAACATTTATAAGCTATTCAACCAGGACCATTAACTAACAATTGTTTCAGTATCACTTCCATCTTCACATTTTGATCTATCTATAAGTTCCCTTCCATTGGTCTCTGACTCTTAATTCTTCTCTGTGTTTTGTTTTCCAGATCAAATCCAGAGCAAGGCCTGTAACAATCCTGGTTTCTACACTTACTTAAGTGAACTTTGCTAAAGGATAAAAATTTCTGATACAAGAACCTATCACCAAAACCTTAGAAACACTTGCACCTTCATTGGTACAGCTTACTGTCTCTCCCAGCTTGGCAGTTCTTCCTGTGATGTTTAGATTTGTTTTCAGTCTCTGCGCGTTCATAGTTTGACATCTGGTCTAGAATTGCGACCTTGCATGTACCCTCTGTTCCTTAATCCCTGAAGCATTCCTTCTAATTGAGTTGCTGTAAAAGAGATCTTAATTTGCATTTCTTTGAGGGTATCTGTTCCATTCCAGAAGAAGGGAAAGATGGCCTATACATATTTTGAACTAAGTAGAACTCCTTTTTCTGAAATGGAAACTGCCATCCTGAATGTGCTCAGCAGTGCAAAATGGGTTATGCCGATGACAAAGCTAAGAATAGATCTCTAGACCTCCTGAGGGTTTGTCTACTTCTCCCCACCGTGACCAATTTTATTCCCTACTTTTCAGGTTCATTTTCTGAGTTCCTGTCTGGGATATGTTTCATTTTGTTCCTAAGGAGGTTTTGTTGGGGGTCTTTTGTCTGGGTCTGCTTAATAATCAGAACCAGGAAAGCTTTGTTTCTAGCTCAGGGAGAAAGGAGAGAGTAGCACAGAGCCACAGAGGAGCATTTCCTTCCTGATAGGAACAGGTCGTACTGACTGGACCATTGAATCTAGTACTGCTGCCTATGAAACTGGTTATGGCGCCTGGCTTCGCATTAAATCGAAGGGTGTTTTGTTTTTTAATTTCATGGAGTCACTGAGCAATATCATATTTGAATGCCCCAGTGATAGTCAGTGAACTAGAACCTTCTGGGTCATGCCATTACTTTGCCAAGTCAGTTTGCTACAGGAAACTAAGAAGACAAGTGAGTCTGTGACATTGGAACTCAGGCTTCCTACTCAAAGCACAAATTCCTGTGTCTGACCCAGAGCCTCACTCCCCCAGAGCCTCAAGACTTTACATGTAGCAGTTACTTTTAAAATGCATTTACCATGTAGTTGACAAATGGGAATAGATTTGGTTGACTGCTCAGAGAGTATTATTGGTAGAAGTGGAAATTCCAAAGAAGTGAATTTTAAATTAGTTGGTTTGTGGGTTTGAAATTAAGTGAAAGAGTTTAGTGTTTTTAATAAGAATCGTAGATCCTTTGGACAGTGCTTTGCCAGAAGCGATTTAATTTCCTGCTCTTATTATGTATCCTTTTACTTAAAGATGGTAGAGCTGTAACAGTCAAGAACATTTTAAAGCGAAAAATCTGAAATCCTTTCATCCTAATATAGTCATTTTTATTTGCATATATTCTTTTAAAACTTTCATTCAGTTAATTATTAAGCTCCTATGTGTCAAATACAGTGTGCCCGCATTCATGTGTGTTTAAAAGCTATGTAGCTAGCAGCATTTTTGTCTGCATTTCATAATCCTAATAACTTGCATCTCCTTGAAATAAATAATATCTCTTTTATAAATGGGGAACCCAGAGACCCAGAAATCATGCCTTGAAGGCATACCAGTGGAAGAGCTAGCTTTCAAATTCAGTTTTCCTCTCATGCTACATGCTCTTGATTGTTTCTATGATTAAGAGAATGTCAAGGGTTCTGGTTCTAAAACACTTACTTGATTTTTAAGTGATTTTGAATTAATTAATTTTGTTAATTAAGGAGTTGTAGTCTGTGAAGGAGAGACAGAATGTCAGTAGTTTACAAAATTGTTTCTTTTCCAAAACCCATTTTGCTTTCAGGATTGTCATAGTTTATATCCGTGTTCTTATTTTAGAAAAAATGGTATTACTGAAAGGCACCATGTTGTTTTCCTAGGGAAGGATCTGTCATCTCGGAGCAAAACAGATCTTGACTGCATTTTTGGGAAAAGACAGAGTAAGAAGACTCCTGAGGTATTAAGCCACATACAGTTGATAAATGTTCTGTTTCAACACTGCTTGATTTTCTGCTGTGCGTAGAACTATTTATATCTATTACTGGTAGTACTCTTTAGATAAACCTCTCCAAAAAAACTTTGAGAGGCTTCATACAAAGGCTAAATGTGATCCTCTTAATAATAATAATAGTTGGAAGATAATATGCTTCACAAGGATTCTGAAAAAGGATATGTGTTACCTGCTTTTTCCCTTGTGTGAGAACTAGAATAAACTCGGGGAGGAATGTCTTTGCTGGTATATTCAAAGGGGAAAATGTCTCTCCCATGACAGGAGAGAGGGTGGTTGCTTGCAGTGGTTCTGTTTGCTCTGCTTGGACTGCATAATTGTTTGGGATATGGCTTGGGGAGGAACAGTATCATGTATGTAGTCCTGTTCTGGTCTATTGCCTTTTAAAAGCATTTTTAAAGTGTTGGATCATTACCGAGAATCTGTAAGGGATTTGAATGTAGTATTTCCTCCATTGTACAATATTTGTTTCAAAACTAGATAGGAATAGGGTGACTAAACTGTACCCTAAATGGGATGAATCCATAATTCAGAGTCTTCATTAGTTAATTGGGCTGTGTAATACAGCACAAGTTTTTTGTGCCATTTCCAAGGTAAGAGACAGTCCTGGATTTGGATGCCAAAATCGAAGTTTTGAATTACAGGTTTCAGGAGATGAAGGGATAAAAATTTGAAATTGGTCTTGTCTCCAAAAACCTGCAATATGGTTACTATAGCTATTACTCAACTAATCTGGTATGTCCTCCTTATAGTTTCTTTATTGGCTTCTAACCAAGGCTCTTGGTGACGACAGAACAAAAAAGACTCGTGTCATTTATTTCTGATATTTCTCCAGACCGACAGGAATTTTTCTAGGGCAGTAGCTATTTGTTACTTAATATTATTTTCAAAGACTCTAGTTATTAGAAATTGTGCTGGGTGATTTCCTCTGCGGGTTGGGAATAAATTCCATCTTTCAGCACTTTTCTGCCCCTATACCTTTAGCGGTGAGGACTGAGGAAGCAGGCCTGGGCCCCATTGGCTTGCCGAGGGGTGGTGTCTGTAGGTCTCTGCTGAGTCATGTCAAAAGCAGGTGGGTAATTAGGGAGGAGGTGTTCTGTCATCAGGCCACACTGGATGCTTCATTCACAGGGAGGCTGTTGGAAAGAGCTGAGGATCATCAGACAACCCTACTTCTGGTCACACCTCTCCCCCTCAGTGTTTACTGTGTGACCTGGATTGGATCAGGCCATCTGCCTTGTTCACTCAAGACTTTGCATCTGTCTTACCTGAGTCTTTCTCTTGGATCACTCTCCTTTGATCATCCTCAGTAATTTCAGTATCCTCAAGGATGTTCTATCACCTCCTCTCTGCCCTAGCTACCCCCTCCCGTGCCCATACCTTGAGCCTTTGCAGCAGCCCCATGGTCCACCCCGGATCTCTGATGGTAACCTTTCTGTTCCAGCTCTCTCAATCTTGCATTCCCACTGTGCTGGCGTTTCCAAATCCTTGTTTTCTTGGGTTACTTGACCCTCTTTTTTTCTCCCTGCTGCCAGCCCCTACTGCCTGCGACCCTGGTCTTTTCTAGTACTCTCTTGAAATGTTATAGTTGAACAGATGAGGGAAGGAAGTATTATTTATGGGCTTTTGCTAGAACTTTAAAAGAACTTACGTGGTAAGCACAGGAAAGCCTTTTGTTACAGGAGATTAGAGGTTTCTAATCCTCTGACAGATGTCTGTCAGTAAGTCCTGATGTTAGGTGCCATGAAGTTTTTCAACACTATCCATCACGACTTGGCTTTTTGGTGGTGTAGTCATTCATGACCATGTTGATGTGAGCCTGTATTTGAGGTACTAGCCCAGGGAAAGTCTATTTCAGTGCAGCTGGTGTGGAGAAGACCAGCCTTGATATAATACTGTGTTTTGTTTAAGATTTATATCCAAGCACTTCTTAATCTCTCATTCAAGCTTAAGGTTTTCCTCTTGTTGATGCATTTAAAATCCTGATTGATTGGTGAGGCAATATTATACCAGGGTGCAGTACTTGGTCTGTAGCAGTCGTTCTCAACAGCACTTGCACGCAGTCACTTAAGGAGCTTTAAGAAAAGTGCTAATGCCAGGGTGCCAACCCAGCCCAGTTAAATCCAAATTGGGGGTCAGAGTCCAGGAATAGGTATTAAAAGAGAAGAAGAAAAATAGTTTTAATTTAAAATAAAGCCTACCCAGCCACCTTGGGTGATTATTAGGAGTAAGGATTGAGAGCCACTAGTAGACGCCCTGATAATGTAACACTTGGGAGAGCTGCTGGCTTTAGGGTGACGAATAGTGCCTAGGACAGGACTTCGGAACTCTTAACACGTACACAGATCGTCTGGGAATTGTGTTAAGCTGCAGATCCCAGTTCTTGAGGGTGGGGTGGGGCACAAGAGTCTGCATTTCTGAGGAGCTCCCAGGTGATGCTGATGCTGCTGGCCCCGCTGCTGCGTGAGCCACATGAGTCAACGGGGCCTCTGTCTAATAGTCTAGTACACGGCTACATGTGCGTAGAAGACGGAGGGCAGTGGAACCTAATCACATTGTAAGATACCAAGTAAAAAGTATTTCTGTAAAGCAGAGTCGCTTTGTTTTTTTAGTATTTATTTATTTAAATGCCAGCATACAGTGGAATAGTGGTTTCGAGTGTAAAATATAGTGATTTAACACTTCCGTACAACACCTAGTCCTTATCACAAAGGCACTCCTTGATCCCCATCACCTATTTCACCCATCCACCCCCAGCCCCCTGCCCTGGTGCCCATCAGTTTGTTCTCTGTAGTTGAGAGTCTGTTTCTTGGTTTGCTTCTCTCTGTGAAGCAGAGTCACTTTTAAATTTGAGTTTTAGATATATGTGGATTTTCACCTATAGAGTTAGCTCTCATTGAGGCACACCTGTACCTTCCCTGAATAAATTGTTGCTATGAAACCTTACTGTATTAGTTAAAACAGTCCTTAAAGCCAAGGGCAGGAGGCCTTTGATCAGATTTGTTTGAAAATACAACCTCTTTTGGCTCCTCTTTGCAGTTGGAAGGAATATCACTTTGTTTTTATTCCCCTGACCCCCGTAGCAACATTGTCCTGAATTTATATTTGGCATTGCCAAGGTAAAGGTGCTGCTGGAGGTCAAATACCTGAAGAATCCTAGACATCATGGCAGTATTGAATGTTAACGTAGGAATCCTCTGTGGGTGCTCTGGATAAGGTGCTGATATTGATCTTGTCTTTGCATCTAGATTTAAAGAACCTTGGGCATTGACCACATCTAGCTTGGGCAACATCCTACTTCTCGAGTTAAAGCCGAACTTACTAATTTCTACAACCCCTGACTGTTGTAAAGATAGAAATGAAACCACAACCTTATGAAGTATCTGTGTGCCAGACACAGTGCTGGCCACTTAGGATAGTATTTTACTTATCCCCAAAACGGTCCTGTGAAGTAGGCATTATCATCACCTTTTTAGCAGTGAGGGAACCAACACTCGGAAGGATTTGTTAACAAAGGTCCAAGGTGGCACAAATGGGATTTAAACCCAGGTCCCTCTGACTCCAGAGTCGTTGTCCTTTCCCCTGTACCATAATGTTAATTAACTTTTTTGCAAATAAATAAATATCTACATTTAAATGATTTTAGTTATGCCTTAGAAGTTTTCTTTGAGATTTTGTCAAAGGCATAAGTAGTTAATACTTTGTCATAACTTTGTGGGAAACTGGTTGACTTTTATTCTCATTTTGCTGAAAATAGTGGTTCAACTTTCAGAACGTCACTACCTTGCCTTCAGGCAGGACTGAACTCTGATGGGTTCAGAAGCATATTACAAATGCCTGGGCCAGCTATGGGAACAATTTTATTTTGCTGTTGGAACTGAATTAAGAAAGACCTAGCTTGAGTTTCTGGAGCATAGATGCTGTGTTATGTGTGCATTTCCTGGTCTCTCATATGAATTGAAGACTCTGAATACGTTTATATCCAAGAAATAGCTGCAGCCCTTGATTAATAACAGATTTTTTTGGCCTTTTTTTGCTTTAAAACTTTTTAAGATTTTATTTATTTGACAGAGAGAGCACAAACAGAGGGAGAAGCGGGCTCCCCATAGAGCAAGGAGCCCGATGCAGGGCTCCATCCCAGGACCCTGGGACCACAACCTGAGCAAAAGTCGGACGCTTAACTGACTGAGCCACCCAGGTGCCCCTAAAACTTTTTATTTTGAAGTAATTACAGATGAAAAGGAAGTTGCAAAGATAGTTCAGAGGGGTTCCTTGTACCCTTCACCCAGTTATCCCAGTGGTTACATCTTACATAACTGTCGCACAATATGAAAACCAGGAAATTGACATTGGTACAATCCATGTGTGTAGTTCTGTGCCACTTTATGACATTTGTGGATCCTGTAACCACTGTCTCAGTTAATTACAGAACTGTTCCCTCACCACAAGGATCTCCCTCATACTATCCCCAGTTATAGTCACCCCCCACCGCACCATCCCTAACCTCAGCAGCCGCTGCTGTCAACAGAATTGTCTAATTCAAAATTAAATATTATATGTATGAACCCCTTGATCTCTCACAGTTATACACTGAGTCAGCTCACATCAGTAATCAATACTGAGGTTTTAAGGGCTGATCATAGTTTCCATGATCTACCTTGGGCACTTAATGCCTGCTAGATTTTATGTCTTTTATAGATCTTTAGAAAAATGCCTTGTAGAAATCATATTGTTTGATGTCTTTGAAGTCCAAAGGTATCGATTAAATCATTTACTTTAGTAATTTCAGAAGTATATGAAACTGTAAAGTGATATATCTGTAAAAAGTGATACATTATTTTGTGTCAGTATAGGAGAACTCCTTGGGCAGTATGTCAGGGTACACTCACAGTGAGTTGGTAAACTCCTAAATTGCATGCAGAATTAGTGGCATATGTACATGTAGGTAG